AAATCCATATTCAAAAGAGTTAATATTACATTACCATTTTTATAAATGTGTCATTGCCGGCATTCACCTTATCTATGACATAGAAAGTTGAAGTGAGAGAGAAGTATACTCTAAAACTTCTTAGCATAATATAAACATGGTCTTGGAGATTGAGTAAGTATAGCCGAATAAACTGCTTCTCATCCTAACCTGGAGAGCGAACAGTACATGCAGATATTTCTAAAAAATTATAAGAGAATGATTCCTATCCATCAAGACTAGAACCATGAGTTAGCCAAAGAGCAAGTGTTTGCTGCATACCTAATTTTATTTTTATAATTTATTTATTTATTGGGTTTTCAAGACAGGGTTTCTCTGTGTAACTTTGGGTCCTGCCCTGGCACTTACTCTGTAGAACGGGCTGGCCTCAAACTCCACCTGCCTCTACTAGGATTAAAGGCATGAACCACCACTGCCCCACTAAGTATTTTTTTGTAATATCTAATTTTCTATTGATATCAGTCTGCTAATTCCAATTTTAAAAGAGCAAAGCATACACTATCAAGATGTTTAAAATTCATAAAGAAATGAGACACTTAAAGCTCTAATAGAGAAATGAGAAATGAAAATATAAAATAACCAGCAACAAAGCCAGATTTTATACTATTTCGGTAAAAATCACAAGAATATTTAAAAAGCCAAGCTTGACCCCAGTTTAATGGCACCATAGATAGGCATGTGTTCTCAGGTAATGTGTCCAGGCTTGAGACTTTGTCCCTGGGTTCAACAACTTCAGGCACTAAGATAAGAATTAGCATAAAATGACAGCTTCTCTGGTGTGGGTAACACTGTCCTTTGGACACAATCTGTCACTGAAATGTCCGCATGCTAGAAGCATGGTCCCCAGAATTCTGATAGTGGATTGTGATGCCTTTAAGACGCAGAGCCTTTGGAAGGCCAGGGGTCTCACAGGTTGATCAAAGTTGTAGCTCCATAGTGGGCCAACTCCCTGTGTTTGTGTTAGTTTCTGACAGAAAAGATTATTTAAAGAGTGAGTTTAGCTGCTCTTTATTATTTTGTCTCCTTGTCCATGCATGCAAGCACTCTGCACATGATTGGTTCTACTTCTATGTCACATATGTTGTGGCCAAGCCAGAGGCTTCCTCATTAGATGTCAGGTATCACATGGCTCACTATTTGCACTTTCCAGAATTATAAAACCAAATTATAAAACCATAATTATAAAACAAACACACCTTTTTCTTGTAAAGTACCCAGACTCAGGCACTTGGTCCAAGAGTTTTTGAAAATACTTCCTATGTTGGAAAATTTGTATCACCACAGGTAGAAGCTAGAGATTGTGCTCTTAGCTTTCTTTGGGGCTAGGTAACATTGCCTCAGGAGCTGAACCTCTCCAATGGAGTCATGTAAATAATGAGTTTAAAGGGAGATGAAGTATATGAGGAAGGGGGTATAGTGTTGAATTAGTGCTGTGACAGTGGTCCTCTTCCTATTGTTCCCTAAAAACTTCAGAGCCTAAACTCAGCAGACAGATCTCTCAGAAGTTGGCAACTATTCCTGGCTTTAAGACAACCAAGGTGGAACCTCTGGCTCTCAGAGACTTTGGAACACACACTCCAACAGACTTAGTGTTCAGCTTTAAACAGTAGAGGTGATTTTCTTCTTTTCACCTCAAAACATTAACAGAAGCATGACTGACAAGAACAGGGTGCATCTCTGGTCAATATCTTCCTAGAAAGAAAGGAAAATGAATAATAATAACAGTAAAATACTGAGTTCCTAACAAGTTCAGGAAAACTCTAGGGAGAAGCATTCAGCACAAGGATATATGGAGAGACAGTGAATTTAACACAGAGATGGAGCACCCATGTATCAGATGTGGTAGCAGCTTCCTGACACCTTCTGCACTTCTACCTGTCCCCTGGACTCTCACCATAGCAGCTAAGCTCCATCTCTGCAGTCCCTGGCATATCTGCTTTCTTTCTGTCAGTCTGTCTTTGCCACAAGAAGCTTCCCAAGACACGGATGTGAGACCAGAGTTCACTTCCTTGACTTCCTCTTTGCAAGGGATCCTGGACTGAAGCTTTATTCAACCAAAGATCCTGTCAGGCAGACTCTTCCCACTTCATCCTTTCTTTGAGTTTCTCTTCTCTCTCTTAAGATATGGGGTGGTGAGAGAATCCAAAAGCACTCATTCTGTTTTGTTTGAAACCTTTCTCATTTCTCTTCTATACCACATGTCTGAAAACAATCCCTTTGTCAGCTCTTCTCCATTGGCCCAGTTGAGTGTGCTGTCACTCTCTAGCTGGGACACTGACTAATACAGCAGTATTATTTGAGGGCAAATATTCTATGGAAGTATAATAGCCTACAGGTGAAATATGCTCACAGCCTTCAGAAGGGTGAATAACACTGGGTGATGGGAAGGGAAAGAAGGAGTGGAGAATGGTCAACAAGAGGGAGTGGGCAGCAACTGTCTGTGTAAAATATATCTTAAAAGGTTTATGATTAGTCTGGGTCCTGTAGACATGTTACATATGGATATGAAATGCCTTGTGCTAAAGCCCAGGTCCCCAGCTGGTGCTGCTATTTTGGAAGGTGCTGAAAACATTGGGAGGTGGGGCCTGACAGAAGGAAATAGGCAGATCCTTCACTTCCCCAGCCCTTCCTTTTCCCTGTTTTCCTGTCTGTTAACAAATGAGAAGCCATACCACTGGCCTTGGACTATGGAGCCACGGGATAGTGACCAGAAATCCTTGACCTTTGAACCAAAATAAATACTGCCACCCATAAGAAGAACATTAAGTATTTTGTCACAGAAAAGAAAATCTAGCACAAAACACCAACGTTTTCTGTGTGTTTTTGTGATTATTATAAAATCATTTTCTTGATTTTTACATTATTGAAATCTGTAACTTAACAATTGTTCACTTTTAGTGAAAAATTGTGTTGATTTTAATAGAGATCAACTTATCAATCTTCCATGATTAGAGATTTTTATGTCCAATTTAAGCCTTTGTCTACAAATGTGTATTATAGTAGTATACTATTTTAAGAATCTCTTCTAATATTCCCTGTGTTATTTCTAAACACTGGCCATTCCCCTCTTATAGCTCCTTGTTTGAGATGTGACTGCTTGCTCTGGCCACTAATATCTGCCATTCACCGCCAGGTTCTCACTAGAAGGGATTCAGTGCAGAAATGTGAGTGAAATGAACCTTTTATCTTTGAAAAGTTCACTGTCTCCAGCATTTCATTATAGTGACAGATGACTAATACACTGTCATTCAGAACCACCACAAAATGAACTATCAGCTTTCTCTTTGGGTAACATAACAAAGCAAAGATCCCAAAGTGAATGTCTTCACAGCTAAAAGCTACTGGTGACTTTTTAGTGAACTTTACTCGTTGGCTACACACTTAATTTCATTTTGCTCCAACTGTGTATTAGAATATACCAGAAGTGATTAGAAAATTAGCGCAATGTTGGTATCAGACCAGATTAAGCTATTTAGACATTTACTTATAGCACAAGAAATGGTAGATTAAATGATAAAGAACTTATGTTCCAGAAGATTGAAGAGACATGGATGTATCCGGTTTAAAAAGAAAGAGAAGTAGAAACATAAAATCCAAATAAATTAAGAGAGCTGGAATGCTTCCATGGAGAGAACTTGATTAGAGGCAGTCAGACTTGGGTCATTCCTAAGACTGTAAATTAACAATTATAAAATAAGGCAATACATATGGGGATATTTGCTGTTAAGTAAATGATAACCAAGGCACAATCCATATAACCACAGATCTTAGGCTAAAAATAAAGGACTAGGGGAAAGGGGAAGGGATGTAGTTCCCTAGGAAGAGGAAATAGAATAGAACGTTATGAATGGCCAGGAGTGGATGGCTGGAGCAAGAGGATAAAATAGGGAGTGGAAGGAAAAAGAGAATAAATATGGGAAAGGGCAGCTAAGACTAAAGACCATTTGAGAAGTGAGTAGTTGTATGAAAACCTAGTACAGTATATATAAGTACAGTATATATAAGAATGATGGGATGAAGAAGGGCAGCAGAGTCAAGGAGTAGATGGAGAATGAGGCTGGCACACAAAATGGGATAGAGCCAAAACCCATGAGCCTCAGAGCAGCACATAGATTAATAGAAATAGTTTAAGTCTAAGAGCTAGTTAGCAACAATCCTGAGCTATTTAGCATGCATTTATAATTAATATTAAGCCTCTGAGTGATTATTTAAGAATGGCGGCAGGACAGGAAAAATCTTCCTTTTTAAGGTAATCTAAATGAAATCACCAAATAATGGGAGAAACAGAGGTCCAGATGGTTACCCATGAATCTTTCAGTACTGAGAATGGGTTACATATAATGAAGTTCTTGGGAACCTCCAAGCAATCCAAGCTATTGCAAAGGCTGTTAATTGCTCACCACAAACTGATGGTAAGGCTCTATTGCTGAAGACAACACCTATACAACCCATTCAACATGGAGAAGTCAAGCTGGTACCTATTTAGAATCTTCATTCCTATGGACTAGTGTTCATGGTACTGGAAGTACTATGCTCAATACTAAAAGAGAAATGTAAATACAAATGCTTTAATCAGGATTGAGGACCTGCCTACAAAATATACTGATACAACAATAGCACAAGCTTCTTTGGAGTAACCAACCACTGTCTGATTAGATTTAAGGCCTTCTCCATGAGATGGAACCTATACACAACATGGTTTAGATGAACAAGAACTTGAGACTAGATAGCTCAGGGACCAGGGGGAAAACCTGCTAAAGGAATGTAGCCATAAAAAATGTAATAGCATTCTGCTATATTCATATTTCAGTGCCTTGCCCAGCCACCATCAGAGAAGCTCTCTTTGCAATGGATGAGAACAAATACAGAGACTCACAGACAGAAAATATTCAGAGAGTGAGAAAACCTTGGAATACTCAGCCTTACATGATATGTCTCCATTGTTCCCCCACCACACCCAGGGCTCAAGGAACTCTGAAGAAGAGGAGAAAAGAGAGTAAGAAACAGAAAAGAAGAAAGACACAAGTAAACAAGACAGACCCTCCAAATCAACAGACTCAATGAACATATGAACTCACACAGAGCCTGAACAAGCTGCACTAGATGAGGTGCTAGACCTAAAAGAAGTGGACAAAAGCCCCCAGCTCTAACCAGGAAGTTATCTCCAAAAGGGAGTCTCACTGAGAAAAATAACCACTCTTAATGGTAGGCCCCCATGCACAGCAGTAGATGACCAACACAAAACTAACCTAGTGGGATCTTTGGAGAATTTTGTCTATAATGTTGAGTCAGGAGATTTTTGCTTTATTCTCTTTCTTTCTTCCTTTCTTTCTTTCTTCTTTTCTTTCCCCACTTCATAGACCCCTTGCATATGGATTCAGGTTTTATGTTTTTATAGGATTCCTCTGTGTGCAGACAAGTGTGTCTATGTGACTGTATGTGTTTCTTGAGCTTTTTCTTTGACTCTTTTTCCTGTTTGTTTTGTCCTATTCCAATTTGTTTGTTTTCTGTCTTATTTTATTATTATTACTTAGATTCCTTTTTATTTTCTAAAAAGAGATTTTTAAAATGGTGTGGATCCAGATAGGAGGGGAGGTGGAAAGCAACTGGGAACAGCAGGCAGAGGGGAAACTGTAATCACAATATATGGTATGAAAAAAATTTTCAATTAAAAATAAAAATAAAGGAAACTAGGGACTAAGATAAAAATAAGATAAAACAAAAAAGAAAATGGAAATTAAGAGGGTAAACTAGTCAGACAATTAACCTGAATAGTGGTAGTATAAGAGACTGAGGGAAACTATGCAACATTTGAGAGTACTTACAGTGCAGTGGTGTTACAGAAAATATCAAGATGAACACATACATGGGTAGTGGATTACCAGTAGTTATGAAATTTCTCTGAAAAGAAAAAAGTTCTTTACCACTGTTGATGGAGTTTCTGTGTCACTAGGTCCCACTGTTTAGTCCCAAATAAATACACAGGGGTTTATATTAATTATTAACTGTTTGGAAGATGGCTCGGGCTTCTTATTCCCAAGCTCTCTCTTAATTACTAACCCATTTCTATAAAATCTATTTATTCTATGTAGTCTTGGCTTACCAGAGAATGCCCAGTCGTTCTATCTTCCTGGTAGCTACTTGGCTTCTCCCCCTCAACTCCTCTCTTCATCCCTCTTCTTGCCTTCTCCTAGTCTGGTAGCCCCACCTATACTTCCTGTCTGGCTACATCCTGCCTGTCCATTGACCAAAACAGCTTTATTCATCAACCAATAAGAGAAACATATATTCACAGAATACAGATGGACATCTCCCATCAACCACAGCATCACCAACTTAAGATATGTTAAAAACAAGCAGCTTTCACAGTTGCAAGTGAGCCACTGACAACCAAAGGTCAAGGGCATTACTATTATATACCCAGAAATGACTTCTTTAAGGCATATTTAAGGTCATGGAGGGTTCGATATTAAAGGAAAACACGACATGCCCTGTGATCCCTGTTCTACTTGAAAGTATTTTGCCAAATTTCTATAATGAAAGAGAATAACACAGCAGGCCTAAAGAGTGCACTCTGTAATTTTGGCTGTGTATGTGTAGATGCATATGTGTGTACATTTGTATGCTTGTGTATATGTATATCTGTGTGTATGTGTGTGTAGATGTGTGTGTAGAGATGTATGTATGTAGATGTGAACACCTGTATAAATGTGTATAGATGTATATGTCTAAGTGTGTGTTGATGTGTGTGTAGGTGCGTGTAGATGTGTGTGTATAAGTGTGTGTGGAGATGGGTATAGCTTTGTATGTATAGATGTGTTTAGATGTGTCTGTAGATGTGTGCATGTAGATGTCTGTATGTCTGTAGATATGTGTGTGTAGATGTATGTCTGTGTGTAGATTTGTGTGTGTGTGTAGATGTCTGTATATGTGTAGGTGTGTATGTGTGTGTGTGTGTATGTGTGTGTGTCTGTATGTGTGTAGATGTGTGCCCAGGGGCCCAGGCACAGGGAATGCCTATTACCCTCCTTCTGTCTTTATTAATATACAGTGTTTTTTTGTTTTTATGCTGTGAGTGTTTTCCCTGCCTGTGAGTTCTCATGTGGTTTCACAGGATGATATCCTTACCCTCCCCAAGAGTAACAAGTGCTCTTAACCACTGACCCATCTTTTCAGCCCCTCCCTCTGTCTTTATGGACAGTGCTGGCTAAGTGACTTCTAAACACTTGAATGATGCAGGTCCATCCTCTTTCAGAACCTCAGGACACTATAATAAGGCAAAAGGTTCTGATAGTAATTGTAGTCTAGTCCTGTTCCAAAGAAAAAGACTTTCAAGAGAAATGTCCTTACTTTCAGGGAGATATCCCTGGTATGGAAATGCCAGTCTGTTCCTGTCTTAGGCCCTGTGAAATTATAGCATGCTAATATAAAAATATTCCTCTGGTTATTGGTGAAAAGCTCAGTGCTTCAGAGGACTAATCAAAGTACATGAAGGAAGACATGTTAGTTATGTAGATGAAGTAAGAGAGGGAGGGAGGGAAGGAAAGAGGGAGGGAAGGAGGGAAGGAGGGAGGGAGGGAGGGAAGGAAAGAGGGAGGGAGGGAGGGAGGGAGGGAGGAAAGAAATAGAAAGGAGACTATGAACTTGGTGGAAACTTTGTTAAACACACACGTATCTCTAGGGATATTTCTGAGTTTTCCCACCTGGTCATTCTCTAGAGGAGAAGTGTGCCTCTGTCTATGGCAGAGATGGGTGGCTCTTCCTGCCACTACTGGGCAGGGCCTGGGTAGCAAGAGGGAGGTGAACCCTCAAGACTCACTCCATGGGTACCCTTGCTGTTCCAGCTGTGCCTTCTCCCTCTTTGGAAGTTTTAACCGGAAGTGTTCTTTTGTGTATCTCCTTGCCTCAGTCTCGCAGCATGTACTTTTCAGGAACTGGAACAAGCAGAAAGAGAATGTATAGATCACTTTATCCTAAGACTGTTGCTGTTTTCTAAGTGAAATAAACACTGTCCCCAATCACATGAGTTACATCATTGGTATTGAAACACTGTAGAGTTAGAAGGGACTCTCAACAGATTATGTTGCAAACCCCCTGTTTGCTGAGGAGGAAGTGCACACAACAGTGAGTAACTGCTTGCCTGTGTCTGTGGGCACTAGTGGTGAAACACTAATACTAGGTTCTCCAACCCAAAGTAAAACATACTGCTTTTCTTTTCCTTCTTTTTCCCTTCCTCTCTCTATCTTCATTTCTTCCCTGCTGCCTTCCCCACTTCTTGCTTCCTCTCCTCCTACCATCTCTCCTTCACCCCTTCCTTCCTGCAAGTCCATGATAGTTGCTCTGAAAACTACCAGTGCTTGAATCAGAAACTATGTAAAGACCAGCCCTCAGCCATGGAATTGGCATAATTAACCTGTTGAGGGTCTGGGTGAAGGAAAAGATGGAGAAGGCAAGATTTTGCTCCTTGCCTGCTTTTACGCACCAGACATCTTGGTTCCCCTGTCTTGAGTTTGGCTGTCCTGGCCCAGAAGATGTCCACCAAAACTAATCACACTCCTTGTTTTTCTGGTTTTTCAGCCTACACAGAAAATCCAGGTCATCTGGCCTCCAGTAATCACCTGACAACATCCATAGTAAATCTCCCCTGTGTGTGAGCAGGGGTGCCTGTGTGTGCAGGGGTACATGTATGTGTGTAGATATGTGTATGCATGTGTGTATAAATGCATGTGTGTGCATATAAGTGTGTATGTGTGTGTGCATACATGTGTGTATATTCATTGTGTGTGTGTGTGTGTGTGTGTGTGTGTGTGTGTGTGTGTGTGTGTGTGTGCCTATTGGATCTGACTCTCTGGAGAAACTTAATAGTCATCCTTCATTCTTCCTTCTGTCTTTCATAAACATAATTGAAAGCAAAGTTCAGGAATAGTGCACAATAACCCCACAGGCTTTCTGCCTCCAGACCACACTGGGGAGCTTTGAACAGTTTCTTTGAACTGAAATTTATCTTTTGGATTCTCACCTGGAAACATCTTTATTGTTTGTGACTGTTTTAATAATGTAAAATATGTATATTGAATTTTGAAACTTTGCATAACTTGGTTTGTCTCTGCTTGACACAAGGGTCTGTGTTTTTAGCACAGACACCAGTCAATTAAAGCATATTATTGAAACAGCAGGTTAAATATCATGATGTGAGTTAAAAAACTGAGCATTGGTTTTGAGCCTCCAGATGTAGGGTAGATGTTTCAAGCTGACTTTCCTGTTAATAGAATTATAAAGCTTTAAAATGTAAACTCCACTCCTAATCTAGCTTTACAAGAAGCTGCGACAAAGAAGGTGAGTGGCATGTCCATTGGGTCACATAGCTCCTGGGTGTGGCTGTTCATGCTCATAACTCATATCGATGCCCTGCAATGCAAAGCCTTGGGTAACAAGGATATGTTTGCATCCTTCCAGTCTGAACATTTCCAAAACAAAATTTCAACTCTAAGAATTGCTTTAATGGTCATTCCTAGTTGGGGAATACTAGGGCAAAGGAGGCTTTGGTTCTGCCTTCCTTTTTTGGGGTGTCATCTTTCTTTCACCTTTGGCCCTTTACTGCAGCTGTCCTTCAGGTCTTGTCTGATATCATCAAAGAGGGGGAAAACCTGTTTCTTGCAATTGTCAAACAGGTTTCCTCTCTGGCTGGCAGAAACCATCATTTTTGTAAAAGCAACGATGCTATTCCCTAAGGGTTTTGGCATCCTAGCAGGGCAGAATGGACCCGGGTTTTCGTGTTTCATCTTTATAGACTATGTAACTCCACTGTCTGAGTATGAATATATCTTTGCCTTTTCACCCATGTCACTACTTCATGCTAAAGTGCCAAATATCTCCTAGCTTCCACAATCCCACTGTAGTCTAGCTTGAAAAGCATTTGCAGACTAAAATTTCTAGTTACTGATAGCTCTAGTTTCATCCTTGACACCCTCAGTCCTTTTGATAACTCAATCAATCCCATCTGCTGGGTCTTGCCAATCCTTTCACCAATCCGTTATTTTCTGCATGCTTCTCTTCCTGTGCATATGAATGAGATACCATGATTGTCTTTTTATGATTGGGTTACCTCACTCAGAATGGTTTCTTCTAGATCCATCCATTTTCCTGCAAATTTCAAGATTCCATTGTCGTTTTCCACTGAGTAGTACTCCATTGTGTAAATGTACCACATTTTCTCTATCCATTCTTCAGTTGAGGGGCATCTAGGCTGCTTCCAGTTTCTGGCTATTGCAAATAGTGCTGCTATGGACATCGTTGAACAGATGTCCTTGTTGTATCAATGTGCTTCTTTTGGGTATATGCATAAGACTGGAATTGCTGGATCTTATGGTAGACTCATTCCCATTTTTTTGAGGAGTCGCCATACTGATTTTCAAAGTGGCTGTACAAGTTGGCACTCCCACCAGCAGTGGAGAAGTGTTACCTTTCTCCACATCCTCTCCAACATGAACTGTCATTGGTGTTTTTGATTTTGGCCATTCTGACAGGAGTAAGATGGTATCTCAGAGTTGTTTTGATTTGCATTTCCCTGATGGCTAAGGATGTTGAACAATTTCTTATGTGTCTTTCAGCCATTCTAGATCCCTTTATTGAGAATTGTCTATTTAGTTCTGTACCCCACCTTTTAATTGGATTGTTCGGTGTTTTGGAGACTAGCTTCTTGAGTTCTTTGTATATTTTGGAGATCAGCCCTCTGTCAGATGTGGGGTTGGTGAATATCTTTTCCCAGTCTGTGGGCTGCCATTTTGTC